AAGTAAGTAAGTAAGATGAATGCACCTTATGTCCCACCGGGGGACCAAGAGGATAAGTAAGTAAGTAAGTAAGATGAATGCACCTTATGTCTCACCGGGGGACCAAGAGGATAAGTAAGTAAGTAAGTATGTAATATGAATGCACCTTATGTCCCACTGGGGGGCCAAGAAGAGAAGTAAGTATGTAAGTAAGTAAGATGAATGCACCTTATGTCTCACTGGGGGACCAAGAGGATAAGTAAGTAAGTATGTAATATGAATGCACCTTATGTCCCACCGGGGAACCAAGAAGAGAAGTAAGCAAGTAAGTAAGATGGACGCACCTGCAGGGGTGAACTCGCACAGAGCGATCCTCTCCAGCTGGATGCGCACCAGCTCACACGGCTGCTCCAGCTGCTGGAACAGCGTCACCGCACGACCATAGTGAAGCTCTGCCAGCGTGCGCAGGTGCTTCCTCCGCTGCTCACTCGTCTGCAATCGGGAAGCTGAATGAAGGCAAGGAACCAACATCAGGGGTTTGGGTTTGGGTTGGCGTTACGGTTGGGGTTGGGGTTTTAGGGTAGGGGTAGGGGTAGGGGTAGGGGTTGGGGTTGGGGTTGGCATTAGGGTTGGGGTTGTGGTTAGGGTTTGGGTTGGCATTAGGGGTAGGGTAGGGTTGGGCTTGGGGTTTTAGGGTAGGGGATATAACTATATTATAACTGATAGCGTTTATATTGTTTTCCCATGACAGCTTCTGCAGTAGACATTGCTCACCTGGCCTCTGAAAGCATTGTGGTAGAGTGAGGCAAGTCTGTGTTGAATAGTGGCACCTCTGTACTGCCTCACAGGCAGCTGAGCCGTTTGTGTGTCGAGATCACAGTATTTCAGGGCCTTTGTCATGCAGTCGGTCACCTCTTTCTCCACCTATAGGCCACGAGGCAGACACACATAGTCGTAAAACTGCATTATATCACAGCGCGAGCGTAATAACTGTACAACAAGCATGTCATTGAATACCACAATGTAAACGCCCGTCAATGCATGTACAGGTAGGTCCCGTTTTACAATGGTCCATTTTACGACTTTTCACATTAACGACCTTTTTCAAATTACCTAAAAAATTGAAAATAACAAAACAAATCGCAACTCAATAACACATGGCAGCAACACCTCAGTCCAAAAATGCAATATGCGCTTCTTTTGTTTTTCATGGTGCATTGTGGGTGGAATGACATGGACATCATATATATGGTCTTGTTTTACGACTTTTCATTTTACGACCCCGTTTTACTGTAACCTAACCCTGTCATAAAATGAGAGCCCGGACTTACCAGTACTGCCAACAGTTATGAACCCGGATCCCTTATCACAGGAGTATGACTGTGGCTCTTGTTTCGAACACTGCTAATAAATAGTGTCTAAGGATGTCATTTATTGAATCTTTTATAATTTATTTGATTAGTGGTTACAGGCTATGATTCTAAATGGCTGTGCAGCGTACACGCAAATCAGGAAGATAGGTTAGTAAAGTCAGCGGTGCACACATACCTCTTCGCGGGAATGACTAGAGAGAGGTGCGTAGTCCTGCAACTGTGTTGCCATGTTGAAGTAGGTGCTTGAGAGCTCCCAGGATATCGAATCCCAGATGTCGGTGCACGCCTCGCGACTCTGCAGCTTTTCCCTTGCCGTGAGGTAATAACTTGCAGCCTGGCAACAAAGCATCACATTACTGCTGCACCTCCAGCAACAAAGCATCACATTACTGCTGCACCTCCAGCAACAAAGCATCACATTACTGCTGCACCTCCAGCAACAAAGCATCACATTACTGCTGCACCTCCAGCAACAAAGCATCACATTACTGCTGCACCTCCAGCAACAAAGCATCACATTACTGCTGCACCTCCAGCAACAAAGCATCACATTACTGCTGCACCTCCAGCAACAAAGCATTTTCGTTTACCAGACAAACGAAAACGTTCGTTTTATCAAATGCTATGCAGTAGTAAGTATAGGACCATTTAAGTGAAAAAACAATCCAACATTGAAGTAAGGAAGGAATTAAAGGGATACTATACCTTAGAGGTTTAGGGTATATTATGATAGTAAGTGCATAAATAATAGTATATACCTACAAATTTCTAGAATCATGCATTCACATTTGCCATAAAACAACAAATAGTTTCAAAATCTTTATTTTTGGCGGCTAACATGACACCCAGCGATTGTACTTCCACACTTTCGAATGAATATTGAGCAATAACATTTTTTATGTAGCATAATTGAG